AAAAAAAAAAAAACACATCTTAGTAAAACCAATACCTTCTCAGCTTCGCATCGAAGAAAAAAAAACACATCTTAGTAAAACCAATACCTTCTCAGCTTCGCATCGAAGCTAAAAAACACATCATAGTAAAATTAATACTTTCTCAGCTTTGGTTCAAAGCTAAAATAATTATAAATAACACAATCAATTTATATATGACAAAAATATTATAAATGAATAATGAATTAAATCGTCAATAAAATTTATATTTTAAAAGTATGGGTTTCAATTCACTTATGTGTAGAAATGACTCGATACCTATATTAACACCAAGCACGTTGAAAAAATAGGCCGTAAAACGGTAAAATATGAACGGATTGAATTGATTTGTATATAATATCTCATTGAGTAGATTGGGTGAACATGTGAAGCATTAAGTCGTAAAACATCAGCGTCAGTGAGCATTTTTCTCAAAAACAGTCGAAATTTTTAAACGCCCGCGGTTGAGCTGCAAAAATACTGCCGGGGTCTCGTGATTGCGTACTTTTGTAAAAAAATTATTTAAAATGAGCACTCTCAGTAATTTTTCCAAAAAACGCTTTTTTCCTTGTTCTATTATATAATAAAATATTGCTATAATGTTTTAAATTTTTGGAAATTCTTTCAAAATTAAGCCCACCTATCTTATTATTACTTCTAATAATAATTTTTTATTAATTTATAAAAAACGTCATTTTATTTGATAAATTATTATTCAAAATGATAAACTTTAGTAGTTACCTCATTTGACAATATCAGCTTAATCAAATTACTCACGCATAAAAGCATCATACATTTTGAAAACATTATATCTCTTTAGAATTATTTTGAAGTGAACTTATAAGTTTTTTATGATATTCTGTAATTTGTCTCTTTTGTAAATGTAACACATTTAATTTTGTAAATGTATTTTACTATTTTGCATAATTTATTTTAATATACTTAGAAAATAAATTATATTTATATAAATATTTAAAGTTCATATTTGTACAATTTAATCATCGTAAAAATTTAACTAAGCTCAATAACTTTGAGAATCTATTATTTTTCTTGTTATATTTACAACTTATTCGTTATTTTTTTATTAAAGGCGCAATTTAGAAAAGTGTATAGATTCTGCTCAGAATACTATTAGATTCACTACATATTTTGCTTACATTGTGTCCATGTTTCTTATATATACCTACAATGTATCTTATATTTAATCCACTTAACGTATTTAAATTAATTAATTTTTATCGTCTAAAAACAAGACAATAATAGATATAAAAATCCATTAATTTATTTTAAGAATCAAACCACTAGTCTTTTGTAAGCTATTTTTTTATACAAAACAGATAAAATATGAATATAAGTACTATTACAGGTGATTATTGAACTATGACTCATGTGATTAAAAATATATATATAATTTGATTTTTTTATACCAAAAACAATTTTTTCTACGTCTTGAAGTATTTAAACAAAGAAAAACTGTTCTTATACACTTTGACCTCATTAAAATTTTATCTAAAATTGAAAGTAAAACAACAGAATTTTTCAATAGAATATAAAAAAATACTTAAATAAATGTAATATGAAAACTGGACAATTTAATTACTCATTCAACTTTTAACTTAATTGATAATACAAAACATAATATTAGAAAATTATTGAAAAAAAAATAATTATTAGTTTTTCACAAAATAAAAACAGTTCTGTTTTTAGAGAATTATCAAATTCCTTTAAATAATGAGTGCAAAAAAGAAGTGTCGTCAGTATTTAGTAGAGTACCTAAAGTTTGATTTTATCGTGTCACCACTTAATGTACAGTTACCGTTTTGCCTTATATGTGAAAAAACTTTTTCTAATGAGGCAATGAAGCCATCAAAATTGAAAAATCATTTATCAAAAATTCATTCCGATAAACTAGAGAAACCACTTTCGTTTTTTTAGGGTCTTAAAGCAAAAATAATTTGTAATGAAAATTATTAGTTTTTCACAAAATAAAACCAGATCTGTTTTTAGAGAATTATCAAATTCCTTTAAATGTTGATGATTCAGTTTTGTTGTATATATTTTTTTATTTCTTTAAATAACTTTATAGAAATAATGGATGTTAAATCAATAACATCCATAATAAATGTGAAAAAAAATCCTATGATTTTAATTGAATTGAAGTAAACTTCAAAATAGTAAATTCCATAATAAAATATGATCACTGAAAATTTGAATTTTGTCTTCTGGAATTAAACCATTTGCGTCTGAACATGACTTGAGAATCGGAAACTGACTCAGTTCTTGACGATTTATGTTTGTTCTGTAAAGATCAAACTTAAAAATTAATGACTTCCTGCCTGTTCCTGATAACAAAAGTAGGTTCACTATCTCTGTTCAGTATACTTAGGTCTGTAGTCAGCAATAGATCCATTATAACCTCTCCTCTTTGGTTGATGTTACTGCTCCTCCAAATAGTGTAGTGTGCATTAGCATCCATACCTAGANTTGGTTGATGTTACTGCTCCCCCAAATAGTGTGGTGTGCATTAGCATCCATACCTAGGATTAGTTCTAATTTTTCATTTTTGCAATAATTAAAGAGCATAGTTAGGTCCCTACCTGGGTCTGTGACCTCATATGGTAAGTATCCTGAAGCTACTATGATGTTTTTACCATCATTTAGTGTTACTCTAATAATAGTCAAGTCTGCACTTGATAGATTAAGTATCAGGTTGGCTTTAACTTTATTATTAACCAAAATGCAAGTTCTTGGTTTATCTGCTTGTTTATGAAACAGTTAAAAATTNGTTTATCTGCTTGTTTATGAAACAGTTTAAAATCCCTTAGATTTAGCCCCTTAATCTGGTCCCCATTTATCCATGGTTCCTGAATAAGTGCTATTTGTAAGGGTATTGTATGCCTCTCAGTTAGGGTCCTTAGTAATACACTACTGGCCCCTTAACTGTGATACAGGTTTATTTGCGTGAATTGAATTCTATTGTCAGCCATTCAGAAAAACTGATGTTGACGCTTAAGAAAGCACGCTGTACTGGGTGTGATACAGGTGTCTGAAACAGTCCCTGTGTCACACAGCCCCCCCTGTGGGTGGTGTTCCACCGCCGTCCCCAGATGGCGACCGTGCCTTGGGTTCGCTCTCCACATTTCCTTTTGGATCCGTGGAGAGGTTCCCCTCAGCTGTGGCCGTTATTGAGGGTGGCGGTTTCCTGGGTCCCTTTCCCTTACGTAACACACTTCCTCCCTTCCCTTTCGAGGCAGGAGTAAAGTGTGTCCGTTTGTTCCTTACCTGTGCCTTACCTCCTTTCCCGAGTGGCACTGGTGATTCCTCAGCCTTCCTCTTCCCAGATTTTTGAGGTGTGAATTTTTTCACACCTCAACCTGGTGGCTGCTTGGCAATATAATCTGTGAAGCAAACTCTGCCCATTCCAAAATATGGACTGTGCTTCAGTTCCTCCAGTTTGACCATGCTGTTTTCGTCCACACTTAGGAACAAAGTTAGTCCTTTCGGGCCAACCTCTGTCTCATGGTGGACTTTCCAGATCGCCGTGTTCAACCCTGGGTTTTGTTTTGCCAAAATTTCCAAGATCTTCTTGGACTCTTTTGGCAGCCCTGGTATGTGATTGACCATCCGTTTATACTTGATCGGGTTGTAGGCTTCCAAATGGAGTTCTGCACCGTCCCAAGGTTTTATCAAGTTGACATGGTCAGTGAGCCACTTAAGAGAGCTCTCTTGGGCTGCACTGATCACAAGTGCTCCATCAGTGAGTCTGGTGTCTTCAAACCTTGGTACGTCGGTTCCATCAGTACCCGACAGTATCAAGTCTCCAACACAAGACTCAATGAGTAGCCCCTGCTCTGTGGTCAACTTGTTAGTGGGGTAGCCTGCGAGGACCAGAGTCACTTTTTTATCATCGGTTACCACGTCACTGTAGGTCGGTACCCAATGAGTTTTCTTACATGGATGTTCTTGTCCCTTGTCCTCAAGTTTTTGAGCTTCGGTTCCCTTTGACTTTTTCAAGTCATCGGTTCCCTTGTCTCCCTCCTTTGGTAGGTTCTTCTGCCCCTCTTCAGCTTGCGCCTCTGACTGCCGCTCGGTTTCTCAGGTCTAAGTTTTAGACTCTCGATTTTGTCAGCTACTGCTCCCAGTTGATCTTGCGATTCCTGGTCTACATTTGCTGACGTTGCTGTCTTATTGCTAGTAGACAGTTCACCAAGTGTCCCGTTGTTAGCATTGAGACCTTCAAGTTCGGCGATTCTTCTGCGAAGAGTCGCCAGTTCACGATCTTGTTCCGACAGGTTGTCCGTAGGATCCCTGATCGTCACAAGTTCGTTGTTTTGTGGTTTTTCTATGTTTTTGTCCATATAGTTCCCACGAGAAGTCGAGAAATAAAGGTCCGTCACAGCAGAGCTCGATACTGTGATAAGGCTGTATACTCTATGGTGCGCCAGGTGCCATAGAGGATCCCAATGGTCACTTTACCTTTCGGACCCTGTGACAAGTTAGCAACCCTTTCACTTGGTATGGCTGGGTTAGGGGGGCCTATTCGCTGTTAGCAAGCAGGTATGCCCAGGCTAACCGGTCCCAACTGACCAAAGTCATGACCGGCTAAGAGCAGTGGTACGTGTTGTCACCTCCACTGAAATAACTAGGGTCCGCGTGGTTGTTAGGCCCGTAATCCTTGCGGATTTCCCTGCGGGAATGTTCATGAGTTACTCACTATTTTAAATTTGGTCAGTTCTTATAATTTTTAAGAAAGTATTATTATATTGTACATAATTATTTTATTATGTATCAATTTACTAGAAATTTATTACATATTAAAATCATGAAATATAAAACTATATGATAACAATATAAAATCACATAATAATTATCATTTTATATGTGTTAAAATAGACAATATATATTTTATAACAAGATTCAATTGTCTTAAAGTTATTAAATCAAAAATAAATCTCCAGTAAAATAAAATATAATTTTAAATTAATATTTTATCATTAATAAAAAAAGAACAATACTTTAGGCAATTTTGAGATCATAGTTTTTAAACAATTGCAAATTTAAAAAAGAAAAAACGAGCAAAAGTGTTCTTCTATCACCAATATAAATCAGGAGGAAAAGAAAGTATGTTCCCCATGAACTATGTTGGTGGTAGCGTGGACATTAATTAGACATTGGGTGATGGTACAATATCTGGCCGCACCGACGTTACGTAACGCGCTTCCAAGAACAGCGCCTCATCTCGCCTATCTCGAAAAACGCGTTACTAACACAGCTGCGACGAGATTCGAACCACCTACCAGAAAACTTAGAAATTGGTATTTTACCCAATGCTGCTAGTACCCACGGTGAAGTCATAAAGCAAAAATGTACTTATTTAAATGACACAGATTGAAGAGTTATATATGACTTGTTATCAATCACATTATAATAGATGGCATACAAAAGCTTTTATCTTTTTTTTTAAAGAAAAATCAATAACATAACCTCATCTAATAATAAATGCTAGGTTTAACCTAATCTATACTAATATATTTTATTATTTTCATTCATTTCAAACTATCGTTTTGATGTTTATTTAACTAACTAACTTAAACAGAAACTATTTTATAATCAGTTTATTTTAACAACTTTTATTTATCTTGTATTATAAGTTTTAACCAAATTACAAAAACACAATTTCTACATAATGAAATGTTATGTTTTTGATGAAATACACTGAAATCCATTCTAATATTAATAATTAAGTACTCTTAAAAATTTTAATTTATGTAAAAAAATTCCTTTTTATAAGAGAATGGATATAATTGTTACAGTGCAAAGAAGAAATAAAAATTTACAAGCAATTTGTTGATATATTCAATTTAAGTAAATTTAAGTATTGGTTGGTGCATATAGAAGTTATACTAGAAATA